AACCTGACCCATAAACAGCCATTATATAACCGCCAATTTCATTCTTATCTCTTCAACCGCACAGGAATGATCAACTAAAGAGCGACACTAGACACCACATATTCGATGATGAGACAATTGCATTTCGCTGTTAACACGAGCAAGGAAACAATTCTGACTACTCTACTGTTGGAGGCGGGCTCATAGCATATTCATTCTGTCTATCATTACCAGATACCTCACCAATCCGGAAGCGGATACGACAAACCTCACCTAGGAAAGAAAAATGTCACGAAATAACTTTTTCCTCACGCATATCTCATGGACAAATGTCGCGGATGAGGTACTATTAATAAAAGACATTGACTGGACTGGACAAAAGATGACCGCAGTACAAATGCAGATCAGCGGAAAAGCTGGAAAAGTAAAACACTGCAAAACAAGAATGCACAAAGCGGCATTCTGACAAGCGTGAACGCAGGTGACCGTGCAAATGCACCGCGACTGCTGACAACCAACCGAAGGTCACCACTGGAAGGTACTGCCTGTACTTGTAGCACAGCCATGTGGCATAGAGGACGGTTACACAAGAAATAGTGATCTTTAGAATAGAAGGCAGATGGGCAAGTATAAATTCGTACCACGCAAAGCTGCAAGTTGCCGTTCACTCCTCAAGTAGAATGAAAAGTCTGAAGGCCAAACTCAGACTTACGCAAAACACCTGAACTGAAAATGCATTTATAAACGGTTTACACACTTTGTAATGTCTGTGTTTGTTGGTCAATCTCATAAAGCCTGGTAAGCAAATGATACTCCAGGGGTATTCCAATACGAACACACTGTTCAGCATGGTAAAAACCCACTCGAAAAAATGGCAGTTGCCACAAAACTACCTGTTAGACGGGAGGTCCCGTTGAAAGTTACGTCGTTTAGTCGTTAGCGACTGGTCCCCATCAGCAATGTTGGAGGCGGTGCGAGACGCAGCAGCAGGCTCTGGGGAGACGTGACCACTACTGCCACCGGTGTGCAGCAGTTTGCTTGACGCCACTGGGACATCAGTTTTCGGAGGCTCCTGCGCCACATGCAGTCGTTCTATACAGGCGGACATAACCTCTTCGACCAAACTTCCGGTAACTTTCGGAGGGGTGTGCGTGCTTGCATAAGGAACCATTCCATCGGTGAAGTACTGGTGGCTGAAGTCAGTGCCTTCGGCCCTACGCTGCTCATCGTTAATATAAGGCGTTCCGGCTGGGGTGACATCCATCGTCAACGCAGTCGTCTTTGACAACGCCCCAATCTTTTCTTCACCAACGGGAGGCGTTCGGTAATGAAACGGCAACGATCGACAGTCAAGTCTTTCTTCAAAGGAATTTTCCTGCAAATCATGCGTGAAAATGAAAAGTACAGCAGCATAAGCTACTTCTGGTACACACAGATACCGTGGTATTCTTTG